TAAAAATATAAACATAATACTAAACAACCTAAAACTACCTCGGGTACATATCTGTAGTACCTGTTACGACAACGACCCTTCGTGCGGTACTATGTAGTAGAACCGCTCTTTCTTTCGGTAGTACACTGAGACTTTATGTATTGTATTAGAGATGAAGTAAAACACTAGTGGACGTTACTCTTGTGACTGTCTTGTCTTATCTCTCTATCAGTCTATTACAGAACGTCTACGGCGGTAGTGCGAATAACGCGCCTACAATATATATACACTCACCTACAGCAATAGTTCCCCACCATGGTAGTCCTGTTGATATATGAAGCCACTCCAGGCAGTTCTGGACAATGCCTACCGGTCCCCATCCACCAAGCCCCAATTCTGCAAATGATGGCTCTCCTACTGCACTGATAATGTCACCTACATCTGGAGATGATATGACATCTCCTGTTGATGTTGACGTGTCTGTGATCTCTGGTATTGGTGGTGGTGGGGGGATGTAATCCGGTGAGAGCTTAAACAAAGGCATACGAGGCATTTAGGTGTTGACCATAATACTAAGTGAGACTTAAAGCACCTGTAGCTTCCTCCAGTGAGGTAATCATGCAAAAAAATATATAATTACCTTAGTTATGTAATACTTTACCAAAATGTTTTCGTTATTTATCTTATAATAACACAGGACTAAACAGTGGGACCTCATAGGTTGAGTTATTACTAAATTTTAAATGCTAAAATATTTTGTGATTTATGATAATCTCAAAATAACTTCAAAGATTCAAAAATCATTGCATATAAATGCTTTTGAGGATACATTATACTTTACCTCATCTGTTAATGTTGTACCGTTACTATTAAATCGTATGGAAATTCCACTGCATGCTAAATATTCCACTTTCAAAAACTTTCGGGTATGTGAGTTGATAAACGTCTGAGAAAACGTTTTAAGCTCATGTCTATGTGTGCTCCTGTACAATATTGAATGACTGTGAAGTGATCTACTCCTTAACAGGTTGGCTGGCAGCTGAAATAAATAAACACAATTTCAGTTGAGTATAAGCTAGTACATGAATAGAAGAGATAGATTAATATTGCATCATCATGCAGTTTAAAATGGGAATTTTTAAAATGGAAATTTTTTGATAATCTAACATATCCAATCAGGGTAAAAAATACACGGGAGCGATGAGCGATTCGCTCTTCAAACCTCCGAAATCGCTCCCGTAAAATTTTTGACGAGAGCTATTTTTTTGAAAAAGAGCTCCCGTGAAAAAGTAATTTTTTCCCTGTATCCAATCATTACTGATGTAATGCACTGCAGACTGGATTGGGGAAATAGATTAGGTTCACAAGTCTGAGGTTTGGTGTCATAGGCTATATCTTTTCTTTCAGTTGCCGCTGACGCCCTGCCTAAACGTGACATGTCACTCAGTCATTGTCGCATTTGAATTATATCAATTTTCTTCGATTTTTGGTCCAATGTTTAAATATTTGCAATTTACGAGATGTGCACCTGTGATACGATAATTAATGGCAATATTTCATATATTATGCAGAATCCAGATATTTTTAGTCACCAAAGCATGTGCCACAATGTGATGATGCATGATGTGGCAAACCAAATGTGTGGATGATGTGGTATATGCTCAGTCAGAGTCAGATACCAATATTTTCGAACAGAACAATTTATCAACAATTTATTAATATTATCAACTTATGAATACTGAATAGGCCTATTAATAGTATTATCGCTGATAAGGTCTATGTCTCCCTGGGTATTGCCGGAACGTACCCTGGGTACGGTCCGGTATACCAGAACATACCCTGGTAACTATCTGATATGGTTAGGGTTAGGGTTAGGGTTAGGGTTAGGGTTAGGGAGTAGGCGTAGGCAACTTCCTAGACTCGTTAGTGGAGTAGGTGAGGTACGGTCCGGCATATTAGATAGTACCAGGGTACGTTCCGGTATACCTGAGATTACCCCAGTCTGAAATTACCCCAGCACGTCATGCACATGCGTGACGCATGAGCAGTAGCGCTGCGTGTAAAGCGCAGTAGCATTGGGCAAATGAGACTGCCACCGTGGACCGTAGTGCCTGCGATAACTAATACATATACTACACTATTATAGCTCATAATAAGCAGGAGATATCAAATAATTATGTTACAATCTACTCTTAGCATTTTGAGTTGACACAATGAGTGGTTTTAAACAATGTTTATGTTCAAAACACCACACCGGCAAACTACCGCGAAGATGGCACACAGCCACATACTCGTTCTGTGACTAGTCAACATTGATTAACTCGTCCAGCTATATGCGGCCACCTAGAAAAACGATCAGACGAAATAGGAGAACAAAGTGCCGAGTGAACACAATTATGTCGTTTAATACCCGTGGAGTTACCGTGTTATCTATACTTTAATGGCAAATTTCGTTTGAGAAAACGGTTATTTAAATGAAAGTGTCAATGACACTGTAGCTCACCACAAAAAAGGATACAAATGAGTGAGTGAGAAGAAGTCAGTTTTAATTGAGCAACCATCGACATACATTATAGAAACGAAGAGTATATATGGGAGAACTCCCATAATATACTCTTGATAATTATGTGTAATTTTTTATGTGAAAATTATAAATAATATTATATATAAATTATAAATAATTTATAAACCAAAATGAATCAAAATTTTTTAAATATCAAAACCCCTAGCCCTTATTCATTCACATACCAAAAATAAAACAAAATACCGTTAGAAGACTAGAAC